AATTAAACCTCACTGATTTCACCCCCAAAACCCAGCTGTCAGTAACTGCGGTAGCATCTGACCCACGGTAGATGGCACCCAGAGGAGATCTCGCGACAGCAGGTTCTGCTCCACAGCCGGAGATGCTGAGCGCATTGAATTTGAACCTCTCTCCAGCACGTCTGTAGACTTTGCCACTCACAGCCCATCTCAAGCCTGAGAAATCCCGACAATTCAAACTTTGGTCCACCGCTGGAAGCCCCAGTTTGGCCCCAGACGCAGGGTAAGGAGGGGCGCACGGAGAACGGCTGCTTCTCTGCTGGTTTTGCTGGGCACCCTGATTTCAGAGTCTGCTATCACACCTCAAAGCGTAGAGTCCAAAACTGAAAACTAACTCTGAAATAAGCCTACCAGCCTTCAAACCGCTTGACGCGGCCGTATTTGTAGCCGAGAGCCTCAAAACCCACCAAACTCAAGAAAAGTACAGCAGCTTCCCTTCCGCGCGCCTGACGATCGCTCCAGGCTTGGCGCTGCCCCGTCACAGACGCAACCACCGTCAGCTTTGCCAACGCCACCAATATCGGACGAGGAGAGAAAGACGAGTCTCACCCTTCCACAATATTACTCTGGTCAGGTTAAACTGGCAAGCAGGGTGGGTTTTCTTTTTTTTTTTTAACCAGACGAGACCACGCCAGCACACAATCTAGCGATCCTGAGGGGAGAGAGCAGTAGCAGAAATTTGGCTTTAGTAAGCAAAAATCTTACCTTCACCAAAGGAAAATGAACTAACCACAGAATAAGGTGCACCCCTCCTTGCCTTCCCTCCTCCCTCCAGTTTATTCACATGTGTTTCTACCAAACCATCCAAAATTTTCAGGGACTTGCCAAAGGGAGATTGAAAGGCCTGTGACGGAACATCTTCAAGAGCAGCTCTGACCTGCAGCTATTTAAGAGACAGGAATAGAAAAGGGCTTTTCAAATCCACAGCCTTGACCATCCGCACGGGAAAGGAGCTTTGGCTCTCGATAAACGCATCCTAAGCCGCTGGAAAGACGCGCAGTTTGCTCACTGCCCCGTGAAGCTTCGTTTTCACACGGGCAATCACAAGAAGCAGTGACAGTTTTCCCTAAGCTGAGTTTGAATAATGGGAGCTCCAAGGGAGCCAGTCAAATCAGCACTTCTTGCTTTTAATCGCATTTAAACCCAGCTGCCGTACGCTGCTGAGGCAGCACCGTCTCCCGCAGAGCGGCGTGAACTGCAGCAAGACGGTTTCTGAGAAAGGAGAACAAGTTGTGCCCTTCCTATTCACTGAATGAACGCTCGCCTGGCTTTACGAGGGGAATAATTAAAACAAACAAACGAGAGTACCAACGCTTCCTAACAATTTTAGGCCTGTTTGTACAGCAAACATTTCTGTGGGCTGGGAGAATCATTTACAGCCGTTGACCCCAACGCTGATGTTGGTAAAGAGGCATCTAAAAACCTCAGCTGTGCTGCAACAACGCTGCTTGCTCCTGTTTCGGCCGCGAGCCTGAACGCTGGTCACATCAGGAGGGATCCAACTCCTGGCCCAAAGCGGTGTTTGGCAGCTTGTTTTTCTTTATCGAGGCGACAGCCTAAAAGTACTAGGTGTGAAAAAACCAGCAACAAACTGGCGCAACAGGCATCAGGACCCACTACGGTCTCCTTCAGGTTTTGACTTCAAATGCTTCTCAGTGCTTTTCCTACCTTCATTTCGGGTAAGAAGTGTTCAAACGCCATCCCTGCTAGACAGCTCACTTGGCAGGCTCCTCCTGCATCGGGCTGGATTTACAGCTTCATCAACGCACGCGGAAAGCGTTCCCGAGCAAGGTCAGGGAAGAGCACGTTTTGCGTCAGCGCTGTGCAAGGTGGCTAACCGATTCAAAGCCACCTCCGAAGTCGAGCTAAGAAAAATTACTCCTTAAACATTCAGCAGCTAGAGAAGGCACCCTGTACTGAACAACGGGGAGGAAAGGCTTGGCTCGGATTCAGCAGGCAGTGTTAATTCAGTCGCCAGGGGACACGCAGGCACGGAGAAATCTGCTGTCAAGAGGCAGAAGCGGCAAAGAGGTGGGGTATTTTGACATGACGACTCAATACAACAAGAGGAATCAAACGAACGAAGTACGTGTACGAGGGAAAGCTGGGCTGTTTGTTTGTACCGACACGGAAACACACTGTCAGCCCTCTGCCAAACGCATCAGTCGTTGCTGGGATCTCTCTTCGGCATGATAAAGAATTAACCAGGCAGCGGAGGAAGTTAAGACTCCTTTTTAAGAACGACAGAGACACCTTTCTTAATGTATTTTAAACCTTTGTAGGGATGAAAGGCTCTGCACCCTCCCCAGGTAGCAACAGTCCCTGGAACAAAATAGTAATAAAAGGAAAAAAGAAAGCAGCGCCAACACGCTGCCCTCATCCATAAAGCTGCCCGGCACCGCCAGGGCGCTCGTTCCGACAGCTGGACTGGAGAGCTCCTTCAGCCCTCGAGACTTTAAAAGCGTTCCCACTCTGCCACCGGAGATACACAAAGTAAGATAAGCAAGGTTAAAAAAAAGCACTTTGCTACGATAAATCTATGGGAAAACTTATTCAGACAAGTTTTGCAGAACAATGGTCGGGTATTTATCTGAGATAAGGCCGGGGTCATATACCTCGTCGCTATTGTCTCCCTCAGGACCACGCAGAACCGCCCAAGCCCAGCAAGAGGACCCACAGCCGGCTCACTACCGTGATTCCAGAGATGCGGGACTCGCAGGACCTGAGAATCCCCTTCCACAACACGAAGCCACCTCAATAACACAAAATTTAATTCTAATAAAATGGCGCTCTCCATCACAAACCGGTTTTGTCACAGAATTCGCCCGGGTTACGGCACAGACTGTCGCGAATACCACATCTCAGAAGGTACAACCTCTTCCAAGGAGGATCAGCGCCGGGCTGTGCTCTTCACAACGAGCATTTCAGCCTGCGAAGCGGTCACTCTTTGCGGGAGGCTGTAGCTGATCTACGGGGAGGAGGCAGCCCCGGGTAGCCCAGGGGTGCACCCCAATCGCCCGTCCTGCGGTCTCCACGACAGGCACAACCCTCGCCGGCTCCTTCTTCATCAGCGGGAGGTAGGCGAAAAGTTTCAGCATGAGTAGGCTGGGAAACACCTTCACGTTTAATTAAACTTGAGAGTTAATTCTGGAATGACTCAACCAATCCGAGGAGTCGCACGTCGCACCCACCCCAAAACAAACTCCTCTCTCTGCCCGCGAGTTCCCGGTCTGAAGGACTCGGGCATCCCCCGCCCGGCGCTGAGCAGAGCCCCTACGGCCCACCCCGCCGAGCCAGGAACACAACCCCGAGGATTTAGCGGGGTCATAGATTATTTCTTTGATGCAAGAAAGCGATGTTCTTAAAAGATAAGGGTTTCCTAGGGAAAAGGACTCTTCTCCTGTGGGCTGGAGCAGAGGTTGGTCCAAAAACTCGCACCAACCCCATCCGTAGTGTGACCTCCCAAGCCACTCCTCAAGTACCGGGACCGCCGCCGAAACGTGGCGGGGGGTCTGGGGTGCCCCGTTTCCTCCCAAAACAAGGTGTTTTATTGAATCACTCTGCCTGGCTGCTGGAAAAGCCACGGCGGCTCCGAGGGAGACGGAGGCTCCATCTCCCAGCCCGTGCCCGGGCTGAGGCGCAGCGTTGGGGACGGGGTGTCACCGGCACGTCCCGGCACCCACCTGGGCAGCACCCCCCTCGCCCCCAAGGGGCCCTCACAGAACCCCCCCCAGGGCTGGGGAGCCCCAACACCCCCTGACACCCCACCAAGGGGGCTGGGGACGGGGGACGGGGCTCAGC